TAGCGGCCGGCAATGACCGAGGGTCAAAACAAACAATAACAGATAAATAAAGGAAAGAGCGTAGGGCCGCGATAGCGGCGATGGTATCGTAGTGGCGCCGGACTCGGAGTTGGGCCAGAGTCGGGCGCGGGAATGGTAGCGGCCCTGTAGGGGCCAAGTGAGCGGGGTAGGGGAGTCGCGCTGGGCACGGTGCCGGAGGCGGACTCAGGGTGGGGAGGTTGGTGCAGCAGTGGGGGAGTCGGCCAAGCATAGGGGAGCCTAGGGGCAAGCGGGGAAGTGAGCAGGGAGTCCTCAGGGAGGATAGGGCTGAGGTCGGGGCTCGCGCTCATGCTCGCATAGCGGTAACGGGCTCGGGTGGCATCGGGACAGGCAGGGAGCGGGCCGGAATGCACGGCCGTGACACCTTGAAGACATACCAGATTAAACCCCTACAACTACGCCTATTCGACAGTAGCACCAACTCAATCATAACCCGTGCCATTGATATTCCCCTCCGCTTCGCTTCCGGAGACATCACCCCCATGACTTTCTTTGTCACATCGCTGGATGGATCATGTTCCCTAGTCCTAGGACACAACTGGCTTACCTGCTACAATCCGTTGATTGACTGGGTCTCAAGCAGTATTACGTTCCAAACTTCCAAACCTACCAAGACAGTTACTCTGGGCACCACTGCCGTCGTCCGACATCCAACCATCTGATGTTTTGCCAGCACCTCAGTCACAGGCTCCCACTCCTCCGTTACCATCTATCGAGTTCGTCAGCCGTTCCGCATTCGCGAAGGCTTGTCGACTTGAAGGATCGGTATCCTTCAGCCTAACCGTCCCTTCCGAGGATAGCCGCTTGAGGGCTGCCTCATCCCACACCGATTCTGTTGACCTCTCAGCCATTCCGAAGGAGTATCACGAGTTTGTGGATGTGTTCAGTAAGAGCAAAGCCTCGACGCTGGCACCGCACCGTGAGCACGACCTAAAGATCGACCTTGAGGAAGGCACTTCCCCACCCTCGGGTACTATGTACTCTCTCTCTACTTCGGAACTCGAGGCCCTCCGGGCGTTCTTAGATGAACACCTGGCCTCTGGGTTCATTCGCCCCGCTACTTCCGCTCACGCGGCACCGGTCCTCTTCGTCCACAAGAAGGACGGATCCCTACATCTTTGCATTGACTTCCAAGGGCTGAACAAGATCACCAAAAAGGATCGCTACCCACTCCCCCGCATCTCCGACCTCCTTGACGCACCTAGCCGTGCCATGGTCTACACCAGACTCGACCTCCGGCATGCTTACCACCTGGTTCGCATTGCAGCAGGCGATGAATGGAAGACCTCCTTCCGCATGCGCTATGGTTCCTATGAGTGGCTTGTCATGCCATTCGGTCTCACAAATGCACCCGCAGCCTTCCAGCAATTCGTCAACATGATCTTTGCCGACCTCTTGGACGTTTCTGTGGTAGTCTACCTAGACGACATCCTTACCTACTCGGAAGACATGGCTTCACATCAGGAGCATGTCCGAGAAGTTCTTAGGAGACTCCGCAAACACGGCCTATACGCCAATCCGAAGAAATGCGAGTTTCATATGGACACTACGAAATATCTCGGTTACTGCCTCTCTCCTTCCGGACTCACCATGTCCATCGAGAAGGTCAAAGCCGTCCAAGATTGGCCCGAGCCCTGTAAAGTCAAGGATGTCCAATCCTTCCTTGGCTTCGCTAACTTCTATCGGCGTTTCATCCACCAATACTCTGACATTGTGGTCCCCTTGACACACCTCATGCATAAAGGAGCCCCCTGGCTATTCTCTGACGAGTGTCGCTCTGCTTTCAACACCTTGAAAGAAGCCTTCACTTCTGCTCCTATCCTCACACATTGGCTACCCGACGCCCCCCTCATTGTAGAAACCGATGCCTCCGACTACGCAATCTCCGGAATCCTGTCCATCCGCTGTGATGATGGAGAGATTCGCCCCGTCGCTTTCCACTCTAGAACACTCTCAGCGCCGGAGCTCAACTACGACACCCACAATAAGGAACTGCTCGCCATCCATGATGCATTCCGATCGTGGCGTCATTACCTTGAAGATTCAGGAACCCCAATCGACGTCGTCACTGACCACAAGAACCTCGAGTATTTCTCCACCACCAAACTCTTGACCTGGCGGCAAGCCCGCTGGTTGGAGTTCCTCTCCCAATTCCACATGACTGTCCGATTCCATCCCGGAAGACTCGGAGTAAAACCAGATGCGTTGACTAGATGCTGGGATGTCTATCCCAAAGAAGGGGATATGGACTACACTCGCATCAATCTGCAGAACTTCCGACTGGTCTTCACTTCGGAGCAGCTCACTGCGTCCTTACGAGCTATGTTCCTAGCTGCCACAGTAATCCGGGCAGCTGTACTCATCGACACAGAGGCTCTTCATCGAGACATTTTAGCCTCCCTCTCCTCCGACACCACAATCTCTTCTCATCTCGCTTCCCCCAACCTCCCCAATTCCTGCTGGTCCGTTGATGCTGAAGGCCTTTTAAGGCTGGACAACCGCATTTACGTTCCGGATTCTAACAATCTCCATCTCCGCATTTTGCGAGACAAACACGACCACCAACTTTCCGGACACTTCGGTCAAAACCGGACTCTGGATCTAGTACGTCATGAGTATACCTGGCCGGGCATCTGTAACTTTGTCAAGAGTTACGTATCCTCCTGCACTTCTTGTGCCCATGCCAAAGTCCCCCATCATAAGCCTTATGGCTTACTCAAACAACTCCCCATCCCTGAACGTCCTTGGAACTCCATCTCCATGGATTTCATCGAACAGCTACCCTCCTCTTCCGGATTCACTTCCATCTTGGTCGTCGTGGACCACCTGTCCAAACAGTGCATTTTCATCCCTACCCACGACACCATCACCTCTCCGGAACTGGCCAAGCTCTTCCTCCTCCATGTGTTCTCCAAGCACGGAGTTCCTTCCCACATCACCTCCGACAGGGGTCCGGAGTTTGTTTCTCATTTTTTCCGTTCACTTGGTAAGGCCCTTGACATCTGCCTCCACTTCACCTCCGGTTATCATCTGGAAGGAGACGGTCAGACTGAACGGATGAACCAGACGCTCAAGCAGTACCTGCGCATCTACAGTAACTACCAGCAGGACAATTGGTCCGAACTCCTGCCTCTCGCAGAGTTCGCATACAACAACGCTCCGAATGCCACCACAGGCGTCTCCCCGTTCTTCGCCAACAAAGGCTACCATCCGAACATCACCGTTCACCCAGAGCGAGACCTGACATCAGTACGCGCCCAAGAGTACTCCGTAGATCTTGACTCCCTCCACCACTTCCTTCATGAGGAAATGCATCTCGCTCAGATCCGTTATCAGGGCCTGGCAGACTCCCGTCGGAGTCCTGCCCCAGCTTTTGAAGTAGGAACCTCAGTCTATGTAAAGGCCAAGTATTTCTGCTCCACCCGACCTTCCAAAAAGCTCTCCGAGAAAAATCTCGGTCCATTCGAGATCATCGCCCGCATTGGAACTCACTCCCTCACTCTCCGCCTGCCAGAAAACATGCGAGCCATTCACCTGGTATTCCATGTCTTGCAGATCGAACCCTCCATCCCGAACATCATTCCGAACCGCCACCAGCCACCTCTGCCTCCCGTAGAAATCGAAGGCGAGATGGAGTACGAGATCGAGGAGATACTCGACTCCAAAATCGACCGATGTAGACACAACATGTTGCTCTACTTGGTCAAGTGGCTAGGCTATGAAGGGACCGACGAGGAGACACAATGGCTCCTTGCTGGTGAACTCAATCACGCCTCCGACCTCGTCGAAGCATTCCACTCTCGGTACCCAGATAAGCCTGGACCCAAAGCTCCTTAGGAACCCTGACTCCTCTCCCATTTCTCCTTTTCCCTCCACTCCTCACTTCTGTTTCCATTTTCTCATTTTTTCTTTCTGTAAGTACAGCTCCCCTCACCTTACTAATTCTGGGCCTTCAAGGGTTCAGGCCTAAGAAGGGGATACTGTCATATCCATCCCCAGCCAACGACTTCCGGTACCTCCGATCCCTCCGGTCTACCTCCGCTCCTTCTTCACTAACCTCGGAGCTCCCGTATTCCGCAATCCCCTCGGTACCCCTCAATGGTCACCACCCCCTCCTTTCAATTTATTACCTACGCCTCCCTAAGTACGGAGCCCCGAAGACTTCCAGACAGCTCCGACGTCTGCTAGCGCACTCCTGCCTCCGCTGGGCAATACACTCGCCTGCCCTGCAGAGCCCACCTTCGGGCCTATCCCTCCTTTCCGTTTCTGGGTTATTGCCTGCCTTTCTGTTAACCCCGTAACCCAACTTGTCAGTAATATTCAGTCAGCTAATGTTTAACCCCGTTAGCTCCGCTCCGCCATTTGCGGACCCGTCTTCGCTGTAACTATATATATATCCAACTTGTACATAGGTTACACTTCAGTAATAAAATCGACTAGAGTTTACCCCCCTTCAGTTCTGGTTGCCAGTTAGTAAGTTAGGGCACAGACGTGTTACTTGGCACAGCACTCCTGGCATAAATCGCTAAGGCCGAAGCCCTCTGCCATGGAGACTTTCCCTCATCTCAACCTGGTCTCTGACAAGCTGGATTAATGGTCACAAAGAAGCTAGGAGGACCACGGTCAACAATTAGGGCACGAATCTCATTTTGCATCTGTGCACGTGCACTTTGGGAACCAGGTACTTTGGATGTAATGAGGGAGACATCTTTCATCAATTGGAAAATAGCATGCTCATCAGCACTCTGTGGCAAAAAATGCCCTCCATTGGATAATCGTGCAAGAGTGGCATCAAAAGTCTGAGCAGATATTTGAGAGATGCTATTAGCAACCCGATCAAAATTTCGGTGTGTTGTCTTCAATCGGCTGTGAAGAGAAGTCTTTTGTCGCTGAATGATGTTGAAGACAAGAAAAAGAAAAGAATAATGTTCTTGAAACCTTTGATCAGAGAGGGCAAAAAGGTGCTTAGCCATTTTCTCTAAGCTCAAGGGAGTTCTCCTAGACAGATGAAAACCTCCAATTCCATAAGGGAACAATGTGGGGTACAATAGTGGTAATAAATGAGGATCTGAATAGTGGTTCACAGGGTCAGAAGAATGACCCACTTGAATGTGGCTCCCAATCTCACCATTTGGACGTTTGAGATGGCGAATTGCAGCAGCAGCCATTTCAGCAGTGTTTGACCCTTGCATATCAATGTCTGTCACAACCACACTTTGTAGAATGCTGTCCTGTTCAAGCCTGGATCCATTGAGCATTGGATCATCACTGAGTGAATGATCATAACGTGCACCTTGGGCTTCACCTGCCACAGTGTTCTCATGCTGCTCAATGGGCACGGGTGCGATATCATCAAGTGGAAGCTCATTTAAACATGAATTTTGCAAAATCACATCAGCATACAAGGGGTTGTTGGAAGTCAACCATTCTAATGCCAGTCGCACTTTCTCACGTCGCACTAACAAGGGACGAGCATTTTTCATTAGCCAATCCTTTGTGGGCATTGTGGAACCCACAAAGACGACACACATTGCAGTTACCACCTCTCCCAAGGGTGGAGGCAAGAAGCGAGAGAGAGCTTCAGGCTTTGCTGGAAATACAATAACATGTCCCCTCAGTGCTCGTTGAGAGGTGGGATTAGAAGAGGAGAAGGCTGCTCCAGTAGCACGAGAGTTTGTTGCAGAATCGTCATGCAAATGAATAATCCAAGTTTTCGCATGACATCTGGCTATTAAAGCTTCCTCAATCAAAGTAAGATCACGAAGACAGGGAGGTACTGGACCAAAATACAAATCATTGGCAATGGCTGTGGGTGGTAATCGATGTCGGTTCAAACTGGGATGACAAGAACGGCAGAGGAGAATATGAACACATGAATCATTATCATTAACAATTCCCTCTGGGCAGAGTGACAAGTTCTGAAGTAAGGGTACATTTGGGATTGGGTGTGGAACATTTGACGGGATATTCAGGACAAGGAGTGTCTCATCATAGGAGTCCAACTTTACAGGATTCGGCAGCATCTCCTGTGAGTACTTGGCTTCACCGCATACAGCACAAACGGAAGTTGAAAGATGTTTCACATCAAGCAACATATGGTATTTAGAAAGCAAATGTGTTTTCGCTGCTGCTGTAAGTGTCTGAGGCCAATGGCTGCCACATTGTTGCTTCCAATGATTGTATTCAAATGCTGTAGGGAGAGTGGGGGGCAGAGCCAACTGATTTGCATGATCGTCTCAATCCACGTTCTCGGATGTCAACAGAGACAAACCATCGAAGAAAATGAGCACGATAACATAGCCTTTGTTCCTGTCATATCCGTGCATACCTGACCCCGATCTGACTTCCGGACCTCCACCCTCTTCACCTCCGGAGTCATAACCTACCGCTGCCGTTCCGATACTCACCTTCGGTCTTGGCAACACACCCCTCCTCTTACCTCTCCGACCCTTTCTCCGTCTGTTCCGATACTCATCTCGGACCGAACATCCCCCCACTCGCCACCCTTCCTACAACTCCGCTCCCCCCTCACAACACCTCCACCCTCCCATCATCCCCCTACACTTCCCCCATCCGTTCCGATACTCACCTTCGGACCTGACTACTCTCCTTTCCGCCACTCCCTCTTCCTTACCTGTCCCCTCTCTCCTCCTTCTGTTACCCTTCCGCCAAGTTACGACCGTCCACCGCTGCTCCGTACTTCACACTCGGACACCGTTCGTACCTTACTCCGAGCCTCCGTCATAGTCCCTACCTCGGACTTTGACTCCACCTCGGTCTTAGTCCATTGCATTGGTGACCTCATACTACGTAAACACCATTGCCAATATTCCTTGGACTTCCAACCCCGCCTCCGTAACCTCCGTAAGCTCTGCAACCCCCGAGCTTCGCGGACCGCCTTCGGCACTCTCGCCGCCTGTAATGTATTTCTCGCATTTTCCCTTCATCCCTATTTGGACTACTGCTTCTTTCTATTCTAGCCAGTTAGTCATCATCCCCACTTCCCCTCATCCTCCTGCCCCTCTGGGCCTCGCCCTCTCTACCTCCTTTCGGACGTATCACAGGTCTTGCCCTATGACCTTCGGTACCGCTCCGCCCCCTCTACCCTTTGTTCCCGTTCGGACGTCTTCGTTCCGATTCGGTCACCCTTTGTTCTCTTTGTGCTTTTGCCCCTTCCATTATATATATCGGCGCTTGTACATACTCGTTTTGGTTTTAGTCCGAAATCGACCTGAAATACCCCCAAGAGACTTCCTGCTCACCTACTGTGAAATTAAGGACCAAATGGACAAACAGCAATGGCACAGCGCTCCGCTTGAGTCGCTGAGGCCAAGGTCCCTCCACGCTAAGTCTCCGATTCCACTCTGGAGTTGTCCGTTTCCGCCCCATTCTAACAGTTCCACTGATCTTGGCAACATGCAACATTGGGAATGAAATTTCGCTGAGGATGTATTGTTATCATCAAAATTGCAAGGGGCATCAGATACTATATGTTCAAAGACAATAGTGTGCAATTGTTCTCGGTGGGGGAAAAGAAGAATGAAGTGTGTTTATCAATGATGATTACAACACAGCGCAAGCAATTGGACTCGGGTGAGCAGTTCAAAAGATTGCAGTATTGTGAAATGATTGGGGAATTGGAGGTGGATGTTACTGAACACAAGTAAAATGTCCTGACAGTGATCAAGAGAGGGGGGTGATTGGTTTGGGTCAATAGCAAGGAGAGCAATACACACAGTGTGTAAAAGCGTGCGAGAGGCCTGAGAGGACAGGAGGTAGTCAAAAAGAAGATGGAAAAACAAATCACAAGAGGGATATTGAGATTGGAGTGCAATACATGCACCTTGCATGCTGGAGTAACAATCACCAGTCAGGGCATGGCGTAGGAGCAAATTCCGTTGATCATTGATTGACAATGAAAAATCATATAAGCCATGAGCGATTGTTTCTTTGGTTAGACGATAATCACATTCAGCTTCAGTGGTAAGGAGTTTAAATGGCCACAGGCCATGTAAAAAAACTCGGTGGGCAGAGGACGCCATAGAGTGGTGCAAAAGTTTGGGCAGGAAGGAGTGGGAGGGTGGAGGTTTGGGTGTAGGCCCAAGTGGTGAGTTAGGATCCGCAGTGGTGAGGGACAACTTGGGTTAGCTCGAAATAGTGTGGTAAGCATGTTGCGGTAATCTGGAGTGTCATGCAGATGAGGTAAAAAAGGGGAATAACCAATAATGGTGCTCAGGTATTGTCAGGGGACGGACCCCGGGTCCCCATGACCCCTCTCTACAGTCCACAGTCTGGCCTGTAAACACAGCCCATCTCAGGGCATAGCTACTGTGGGTAAGAAAGTGTATAGATAAATAGAAAGTAGGCTACACTTGCCTACTGTGGGTAAGAAAGTGAGAAGAAGGTTAACTTCTCACTTTCCCACAGTGGCCCAACATGGCGAAAACTTCCGGGGATACCCGGAAGTCACATGAGGTGGGATCCGGGGTCGGATCATGCGGTGTGCGGAGTGTGCGGCACAGGAAGTGCGCAGGAAGTGGAGCGGGTCCGGATGCGGGTCCGGGTCCGGGCTAAGTCAGGGTATGTGCCCTGACAGGTATTCAGTTTGTGCATGCAAGACCCACTACAGAGTAGCGGGAATTGTAATATTTTTGGGTTGGTGTCAGGGCACACACCCTGACTAGCCCGGACCCGGACCCACACCCGGACCCGCTTCCACCTGCCATGCTTCCCGCATGTGTGCATGCTCCATGTGCCGCATGCTCCGGGCCCGGTTCCTACCCCTTCATGTGACTTCCGGGTATCCCCGGAAGTTTTGCTGATATTGTGGCCACTGTGGGAAGATGAGAAGTTAGCTTCCTTCTCATCTTCTTACCCGCAGTAGTTGTGCCCTGGACAGGGCTGGTTACACCACAGGCTGTGGACCATAGGGGAGGGTCATGGGGACCCGGGAGTCGTCCCCTGACAGTTGGTTGGTTGGGTTGGTGTTGCTGACCTCGCTCCCTTCCGTTCGCTGTCAACTATCCTTGTAGAATGCGCCACCCCAAGCAAATTACCCCCAAGTCACCATCCAATGACACACCGACTGCAGGGGACTCAAACCCCTTAGACCTTCAGATCTGTTCCTGTTGAAATCTCTTTTTTCTTGGTATGCTGTGGACCATCCATTGAGTCCGTCGGACCATATTTCTTGCACATGGACATTTCCTTGAAGGATTGCCTGATGCTTCCGTTTTTTGGAGTCCATGTTGATGGACACAGTTGTGGATGGCTTAAAAGCCACGAGAACGACTTTTCTCTCTCTCTCTCTCTCTCTCCCTCAGTTCATGTATCTAGAACTGAGGTGAGACACTCTTCATCTAACTGCACAATTGTCAGGGATGCGTCCAGGGTAGAGGGGGTCCGGATGTATCGCCTGGCAGAAGGGCCCTCATGGGGTGCGAACCAGGCATGCGTACTGGCAGGTCCGGGAAGGGACAGCAGTCCCTGGCCACTTAGACTGAAGTGGAGAATGTGAGAAGAAGGTTACTTCTTCAGTTCCCACTTCAGGTACATTTATGTACATGCGGCTTGAGTCACATGATGAGTGCCACTGTTATGGGAATGGGGGGAAATCCCCATTCCACGATCCGTTCTTATAGTGGGATGACGAAGGTCGTATCTAGTCTGTACCATAATGGGATATGTAATCGATGAGTGATCCCAGTCTTGCATGGGAGTGGACGATCAAATTCCCATTGATTGTGATTGGTGATGTAGTGAGCCATTAAGGGATTGATGGTAGGTGGTCGGAGATGTCAGGACAGACGGGTCTGCCACAGGTACTTGGCACTCCTCAATGGAGTGTACTGTGTGCGAGGTTGCGACTCGTGAGGTGGGTGAGAACTTCGTATAAGTGCCATCGGGTACTTGGCGTTCGCAGCGCAAACATACCGGTAGCGGGTTGATATCATGAGTGTGCAATGAGGATTGACTAACAGGGCCTGCAGTGACTTGGCGTTCCCAAAGGGAACGTACTGTTGGCGGGAGAACATGATGACTGACAAAGGAGGGAACAGACAGTGGATGGGCGGCTACTTGGCATTCGCATAGTGAACATGCTGGCATCACAGGAAAGTGGGCCTCAGAGTATTCACGATCTCCATGATCGCGATGTGATGTTGTATGTCGGGCACTGGGGGGAGAGCGGAGTGATGAGGTCCCATAGGGTACAGATTCCATAGGATGATACACATGTCGAGAGTCTTCGACTCGCAACCTCGAGTTCTCACAGCGAGGGCCGTTAGAGGACTCGACATAACCAGACTTATAAGACATGTTGTGAGTTGTACAGTCACATGGGTTCAGTTGAGTCACAGGAAGGGTTGTTACAGAAGACGACACACAAGACAGTTGTAGAGCAGTTGTTAGTTAGTGGGAACTGCCTTCGGCGGTTTCCGTACAAGACGTGTGACTATCTACAAATGGTAAGGTTGTGGGAAATCCCACGAAATACAAGTAACCTCAGCCAGCACCAAAACCCCAATGAGGAAAGCTTTGCACGAGGGGGGGGAAGGGATAGAATGAGTAGGAGGGTAGGGTATCAGGATAGAGGACGAAAGGGAGAAAGAAGGGGAGCGATAGAGAGGAGAAGTCTTTGACTATGCGATGGATATGGTCGTTGGAGACTCCGTATCCATAACAGCCACGTCACCCTTGGAGACAGCCGCAGGCATCCGGGTGTCCCCGTGGGGGA